GCGTGGTTTGATAGGCTAGTTCAGTGGATCTTTCGAACAATGACAAGAATTCGATTGTGCTGTTAGGCGGGCGGTAAAATACAGCAACAAGTAATACGGTGTTTGGAAATTTGCATTCCACCCAAATACTCTCTATGCCTGTAATCTCAAGATCATCTCGCCGTTTGCAATAAATGGTTTTATTAACATATAATAATAATCCGACACCATGCGACGTCCGATCCTTCCGGTATGGAGAATGGTAACCGTCCCATTGTAGAGATGAATCTAACACATAGTTATCCAGATGAGTCTCAGTGAAACTACAAATATGGTAATCATTAACATCGTCGTATATTGTTTCAAGTTTGTGTCTTATACTACGTGCATTTAAGTGATAGACTGATAAGTTTCATTTGAATCGTGATTTGAAGGTCCGGGATTTTTATGAACGTCTCCTGATCTTAGAACTAATAAGGCTAAAACAGTACTTAACAGACATAAATTATCAAGTTCACATAAAACTATAAGAGATATTATTCGACATCGCGATTTCTCAGATGCCTCGTGCTTTACTGTGTAGTAAATATCAACTATAACAATAGCGATGAAAATATAATGAGTGTTGCACATGCGCCAGTATTGCACGAGGGGACTGAGAAATCATCAAACAGTCAGATCTTAAATATTTAGTGGCTAGTTTTGGTGGATATAGAGACATGAGAACATGATGTAAATAAATAGTAAACATATAAAACATATATACAGTCAGTGAAAAAGAGAAAACATAAATAAAGACATAATGGGAAAATAAAACATAATATACAAAATATATAGAGGATATTTGTCGTTTTAGAGTGAATAACATATTTTATTTCATCGAGAAGCAAGAAGATCGTGAAAATATAAACGTTTTCTTGCTTAGAGATGAAATAAAATATGTTATTCACGACAAAACGACAAATGTTCTATTTATTTTATGATTTTACAATCATTTTAGGTAAAAACAACTAGCCAGTGGAATAACACTTTTATTTCACTGATAAAACGCGGTATTCCACTACTGATCATAAAATAAATATAAATTATCCACGGAACGGGTCTGTATGCTACAGACATGTCAGTGGTCTGCTAGTTGTAGGCAAGACTGTTCAATATACATTTACGCTACTTTAATTAACATAATCTCAGCTTAACCACTGTAACAGTTGTTTTGTAATAGCACATCTATTTAAGATAATTTCATTTCCGTGAGTGTGTCGTTTAACCAATGTGTAAATAGTGAACTGTACACACCTTCGTTGACAGTTCATAAAAGAACGATAAGCTGGCAAACGGTGGTTGGAATGAAATGAGTTTGGGTTTAAGTCCTACTTTTCTTGCGTCAATTTGTGAATGATCGGTGTCTAGCGTGTTGTGTTAACTGGGTTAACACATTAGTCGCTTAGAGTTAAAGGTTTAGAGAGAGAGAGAGATTAACGTCCATTTGACACAAGCTAGGCAATATCGGGACTATGAAACAAGCTTGATAATGAACGATATTGACCAATTAAGCATTTTCCCGATATAATAAGTGCCTTAGTAACTATATCGGCATGTTAATAATCTAAATTATTCACAGCACATGATTTTAGTTCATATTATAAAAAAGTTTGGATATGTAATAAAATATAAGGTATTACTTATTTTATACTGCTATAATTCGCTATGATGTTTGTATATGGTAATTTATCTCTTATATGAAAGTTCTTTCGGGTGCCGTAGCCCTTGTATATAGTTTTGATTTTAAATAGATGTATTTTCGAGCTATAATCTATGACCGAAATAAACGAAACTTTTGATAGAACTTTAAGAGATTATTACCAGTTATTGTGATTTAACCAAAACAGGTTTCCTATTTTCTTAGTCCATGTACTTTAAGTGTTAAACATACAAGTACTACTTTACAAGAAAATAGGAAATGTTCATGTTTTGGTGTTGAGATAGAATTTCAAGTATTGCTATTGATTTTTATAACAATGCTGATTGTGGCTTATACATACATTATTATACATACGTTTAGATGTTTGATAAAAATTCACTTATGATATATAAATATGTATACTATATACGGAACTATATTTTATGGAACATTCTCAAATTCGTTCTCAAATAGCGTAAAAATATGGTATACTAGCAGTATAACCGGCTTCGCTCGGGGGTCATAACTCCGAAACCGGAAGTGGTAGACTAACGCCACCTGGTCTATGTTACTCCCCGGTCCGAGCTACCCCTATACCCCAAATTTCAGACTCGGGGCAGACCTAGTGTAGCCGCCAACCCCGAACAGACCGGCTTCGCTCGGGGGTCATAACTCCGAAACCGGAAGTGGTAGACTAACGCCACCTGACCAATGTTACTTCCCGGTCTGAGCTACCCCTATACCCCAAATTTCAGACTCGGGGCAGATGTAGCCGCCAACCCCGAATAGACCGGCTTCGCTCGGGGGTCATAACTCCGAAACCGGAAATGGTAGACTAACGCCACCTGGCCTATGTTACTCCCCGGTCCGAGCTAACCCTATACCCCAAATTTCAGACTCGGGGCAGACCTAGTGTAGCCGCCAACCCCGAACAGACAGACAGACAGAACGACGGTCACAATTTTTATCCAGTTTTGTTGAAACTTGAAATGTAAGTTTATAACCCAAAGATCTCGTTTCCTTTCGATATTTGCGGATATCGGACCGTAACTTCCTGAATTATGGCCCCTGATTGTACGAAAAATCGCGTTTTTAGCTTATGGACCCTATAGAGGTCATAATTTTTATCCGATTTTAAAAAGAACCGTATTATTATATCACCGTTACACCCTAAGGACGGCTGAGTTCGAATTTCGTGAAAATCGGCCCAAAACTGACAGACAAAATGGCTGCCCTTCGTTCTCAAATAGCGTAAAAATATGATATATCAAGGTTGTGGACCCTATAGAGGTCACAATTTTAATCGGATTTTGTTGAAACTTGAAATGTAAGTTTATAACCCAAAGATCTCGGTTCCTTTCGATTTTCGCGCGTATCGGACCGTAACTTCCTGAATTATGTTTATAACCGAAAGATCTCGGTTCCTTTCAATATTCGCGCATATCGGACCGTAACTTCATGAATTATGGCCCTTGATTGTAGGAAAAATCACTTTCTTTTTAGCTTGTTCTCTATCCATCTCTCGAAAATGTGGGCGTATCCCGTCTGGCAGCCGCTGGTTAGCTTGTGGACCCTATAGAGGTCATAATTTTTATTCGATTTCAAAAATTGTTTGAATATATCACCCTTATACCCTAAGGATGGTTGAGGTCGAATTTCGTAAAAATCGGACCAAATCTGACAGACAAAATGGCCGCCCCTCGTACTCAAATAGCGTAAAAATATGATATATCAAGGTTGTGGACTCTCTGGAGGTCACAATTTTCTTTTGATTTTGATGAAACTTGAAATATAAATTTATAACCCAAAGATCTCGTAACTTCCGGAATTATGGCCCCTGATTGTTCGAAAAATCACGTTTTTAGCTTGTGGACCCTATAGAGGTTATAATTTTTAACCGATTTCAAAAACCGTTTGAATATATCACCTTTACACCCTAAGAACGACTGAGTTCGAATTTCGTGAAAATAGGACCAAAACTGACATACAAAATGGCCGCCCCTCGTGCTCAAATAGCGTAAAAATATGATATATCATGGTTGTGGACTCTCTAGAGGTCACAATTTTCTTCTGATTTTGATGAAACTTGAAATGTACGTTTATAACCCAAAGATCTCGGTTCCTGTCGATATTCGCACATATTGGACCGTAACTTCCGGAATTATGGTCCCTGATCGTACGAAAAATCACGTTTTTAGCTTGTGGATCCTATAGAGGTCATAATTTTTATCCGATTTAAAAAAAAACGTTTTAATATATCACCGTTACACCCTAAGCATGGTTAAGTTCGAATTTCGTAAAAATAGTACCAAAACTGACAGACAAAATGGCCGCCCCTCGTACTCAAATAGCGTAAAAATATATTCAAGGTTGTGGACTCTCTAGAGGTCACAATTTTCTTCTGATTTTGATGAAACTTGAAATATAAGTTTATAACCCAAAGATCTCGGTTCCTTTCGATATTCACACATATCGGACCGTAACTTCTGAATTATGTTTAGCTTGTTCTCAATCCATCTCTTGCAAAATGTGGACGTATCCTACCTGGCAGCCGCTGGTATATCTTTTCAAGAAAATAATTCTTGAAAACTTTCGTAAAGCACGTTAATCATTGAAAGAAAATGTGTGTGGTTAATGTCTGACGTACTCCCCCATTAGGAATTAATTATGTCAAATAAAATATGTGTCGAGCGAAAATGTATCACACATCAGTTTGCCAAGTTTCTTTTCCCATTTTTCTTTAAGTATCCCTAAGAATTTCAAATATTTTACATCACTTATTGTATTTGTATCCTTGTCGATCATTTTGATAAGCCAGTGAATTCGTCAAAAAGTATATCAATAGCGTCTATTATCCGCAATGGGTGGCAATTCAAACCACCAATTATTCCCCCCCCCCCCCTCTCTCTCTCTCTCTCTCTCTCTCTCTATTTTGGTTAACATTTTGAGTCGAAGAAGATGATTCGAATTGACATTTTCTTTGGAACAGATGGTCGGATGTAGCCCCGTTTGTGATTATGAGCCTTCAATCCGACGCAAATATTTGGAAAGGTTGAAGAAGGATAAAGAGACCAGATTTAGCCTATATTAACTATATTAAAGTCAGTATGGAAATTATAATTAGTTGGGGGCATTGCACAGTGGTTAAGTGGGAAAGTTCAGTTGGAATTCGAATTAAGAATAGGCCGTAGTGCCACTATCGGGGAGAATGTTCCTCGTAGCACAGTTTATGGTGTAAGATGTTCTTTGTCGGCCCAGTCGGTGCAGAACAGTAGGACGTTAAACCCTAATTATTTCATGTAAGGGTGGTCTGCATCCTAACATTTGTCTTCCCGGAAATGATAGGTGGCGTTGTGATTCAAAATGAAAAATGTTTGACGATTATTTTATGAAAAATATGATTAAACTTTTTATTATATGAATGAGAAAATATGCAATATAATTTATTATTAGTTACGGCGGTAAATAAAAGATTGATTAATCATCTGTATCAACATGAAAACAGGTAATATATAAAGCCAAAAGGAAAATACCCATCCATTCCATGGTTACTGTTACTCGATCGACTTAGAGAGCCAAAACAAAATCGACGAAAATAAATTTTGTTCTCCATTTTCCACGTCCTATAAATCAGTATTTGGCATGGTTGGATCAACCGAACTTTGCGACCACAATACAACACTTAAACTAAAGTTTTTACCGTATTGTTAAAGGAGCTAAATCGCTAATATTTGGGACCTAGAAATCGACACAAATGCCGGGTCGCAAAGCATAATGTAATGGTAGGCTAACTGTAATGTGAAAGTATACACAGGAATATGACCTTCTAATCGTATATATATATGCATGCACCATACGCAACTAGACAATATATGATAAAAAAAATAACAGGAATGCAATGCCTACTGAAGCCTCGATTTTACCTGGTCTCAGTTCGGCTTGTTTTTTTTTCAACAATTCGTAATGTCAGGGAATCTAACCTCTGACTCTGTCGATTCACTCAGATATGTTTTTTCTTCAATCTGGCTGTTTTGATTTGTATAAATTATAAATACTCCCTACAAAACGATATCATAGCCACTTGTTTCCAATATTTACAATCTTTTCGTTCGTTAATGTTTGTCATCGACTCCATGCGCTAACGTCACACAAAATCGATCCGCAGTGAATATAGGCCATTGAAACAAGGGCCAAAGATATTTTTAGTTTTTCTCTCCCTTTCCGTTTTCCCGCTTTTGCATGGTGATTTTTGTTGACTTTTGGTCTACATCAGCACATTGAAGACAAAATCTTTATAAATAAATAAACATTTTTGTAAACTGCAGTAAAAAACCAAGTAAAACTGAATGGTTAAATCTACATGTATGTCAAAATAGGGATCAAAAGCATGTGAAAAAATACAAGTGTATTAAATACAAAGTTAAGGTATCTATGTAACTTGTAAGTTATAACTTATATATTTCTATAAAAGCAGAGAAAACCTACATGTAGTACTGCGCTAACGTCACACAAAATCGATCCGCAGTGAATATAGGCCATTGAAACAAGGGCCAAAGATATTTTTAGTTTTTCTCTCCCTTTCCGTTTTCCCGCTTTTGCATGGTGATTTTTGTTGACATTATGTCTACATCAGCACATTGAAGACAAAATCTTTATAAATAAATAAACATTTTTGTAAACTGCAGTAAAAAGCCAAGTAAAACTGAATGGTTAAATCTACATGTATGTCAAAATAGGGATCAAAAGCATGTGAAAAAATACAAGTGTATTAAATACAAAGTTAAGGTATCTATGTAACTTGTAAGTTATAACTTATATATTTCTCTAAAAGCAGAGAAAACCTACATGTAGTACTGGTACCGTACTGTATAGCCTACATGGAAGCAATCGACTTTGGAATATAATAACTCTCCTTCTAATTGAGGTAGAATATTCAAAATTGGTGCATGTGTCTATTACGTGAATCCCATGACATAGTTCATTCATGTGCATTTTCCACTACTGCTAAGCAGGGATGAGCAATTTGATTGGTTGAGACTTTTGAACACGATAACTTTGGTTCTAATTGGGTGATAGCGATGAAACTCTGAGTATAGATTCATTATATCAATACATTGACTAAGTTCGATGATGAGAATTTTCTGCTTAGGCTAAGTAGCAATAAGCAGTTTGATTGGTCTGGACTTTGGAACATAAAAATTCTGCATTTTAATTGAGGTATAGATGTTCATTAGGCGAATGTCTTGACTGAGTTCAGTGATTAATATTTCCCATTAAAGCTATGCAGAGAGCTAAGCAATTTCTTTGGTCGATGTTTGGGACAAGATAACTTTGATTCTAACTAATGGAGAATGATCAAACTTTGTGTATAGTTTCATTCTCTACCAGGTACTTCAAAACCAGAGTGTGATAGTGAACATTTTATGCTTAGACTAAGCGTACCGGTAGATAATCAGTTTGATTATTCGATACTTTTGATAAAGATAAATGTGCAATTAATTAATATGTAATATGTGTCATCTGTTTTTGGGGGGGATTTCCGCGGGAGACATCAGCCTCACTGTTGGCTTGTTTTAATTATGCAATTTTACGTGAAGGCTATAATCTGAACTAATGAACTATAGCAACATGGAATTTGTATACTTTTCATCCTTCTTCCTTTAAATAGGTTGCAATCAAAGACATTATGACGAAGGAGATATATTCAGTACAGACAGGGGTATCACAACACAGGCTTTTCTATACACTCAACAAAGGCAGTATGGCATTCACAAACCAAATCCAAAACCTCTTGTTGCTGACTTTGCATCTCAGCAAATACCAATGGTGCTTAAAGAAAGAGAATATACATTAGGAACTATTAATAAAATATTTGCTTCCAAATGGCTGAATGAAAGACAAGTTGTGTTTGGAACTAAATGCAACCAGGTAATTTGTATGCACAAATTACATTTTTCAATGGGATTTTTACCATATTTTTTTGACCATGACTGAAAAATATACGTAATGAATTACATTGTAGCTCTTACGCTTAGTCCCGAAATGACCTAGTTTGTGTTAAGTGGACGTTAAACCCCATTTCTCTCTCTCTCTAGCTCTTACGCTTATAGTTTTGGTTAGATAATGTTTGCCTGGTCGAAAGAGACTTGATAATCACGACCCAGAACTTGTGCGTATAGTATTTTCGAGACCTGCATTTTTGATTGTGAAACTGCTTGCATTTGATTGTACACAAGATGACGTCTAGAGGTTGCATCATTAGGAAAAATAGTATTGATTTTTGTTAATTTACTGTTTTGTTTTTAATTTTAAACAATAATATCTTGGCATCACTATTTTTTTGATGGGATTTTTTTTTGCACTGAATATTTCATGGAGTTCATTGTTTTTGTTTCAGTTAATAGCTTTAGATTTATTGAATAGCCAGTTAACCCGCATTCCTACCTTAAAGAGTAGTGAAGATAGCATACCAGCAGATTGTCCTTGTGGTATACACAGTGTGGCTGTTAATCCGTCCCGTACACTATTAGCTACTGGTGCTAGTAATACTAATGATATTGCTGTTTATAAATTACCCACCTTTGATCCTGTCTGTGTTGGTGAGGTAAGTGAATAACCAAACCAAAATTTAAACAAAGGGTAAACATACAAAGAGAAATTGTTTTCTACACACCAAATACATTGCTTCTTTTTATTCTGATGCCTGCGTTGGCTGAGAGACTCATGAGGATTTTCCGGGGTTGTTCATTTCATTTCATTTCAATTTAGTGTTTGGAGATGCTGTGACAATTAATAATACTATGAATTACGATTGATTCAAGCAATGAATATTTTCAAGATTACTCATTTATCATGTAACAGACAATGTAAGAATGTATTATACTGGTAAGTAAAAAACATTATTGGAACACTGTATTTATTTGATAGTATAAGTGTCATGTTTTACCTTCCACATAATTTGTTTATTTTTTTGTAATCTCTTTTAGAATGCCCATGATGATTGGATATTTGATCTGGTGTGGGTAGATGATGAGTTTTTAATATCGGGTAAGGGAAGGAAGGACACCGGGAGTGTTAAATTGTTTCTCTCATACAGCAACTTATGTTACTGATTCAATGAATTATAAATTTAATATTGGCTAGTATTATTACTACATTCAAGCAACCAATATTATTATTGCTATTCATTTAAACTTGAAGCTACCAATATTACTATAAATTTATCCATTTATTATTTAAGCAGCTTTACTATCAATTGTAGCTTATGGGAATGGGCACGTCATTAAAAGTCAATAGATTCTGTATGCCCATGAATATAGTAAGGAAACACAGCTGAATTTTAGTGTCTCTCTTATGAACAGATTTTATTTTCAGGATCTAGAGACAGTCGACTAGCTTTATGGAAAATAGATTCTGCAGAAGATGATAAATCCTCGCGAATGACCAATCTTTTTATTCCTGAATATGATATTAAAAAACCACTAGAAATTTGTGATGTACCTAAAGCTCAGAAAGTTAGAGCTTTAGCTTACCATGTAAATAGAAAGGTAAGAGATAACAATTTAAGCTAAGCATTATTTCCTGTCAAGAGTTATTATACTCTAAGCTTATGCTATTTTTAGCAACATTTGGATGGAAAGAAGTCTGTTATCAACATTGGGGGATCACGTGGCTAAGTGGGTAAGACGCTGGCTCGCTAGCCTGGAGGTTGGGTGTTTGATCCCTGCATTGGCCGAGAAAGTTCATCCAGATTTTCCGGCATGGTTCCCCCTTGTCAGTGATGCAGGACGGAGGGCCTGACAAGGACAGCTGTCTAGTCATTCGGATGAGACAAAAAACCGAGGTCCCGTGTACACATTGGCGTGCACGTAAAAGATCCCTTGACAGTTGGAATTCGATATAAGAGTAGGCCGTATTGCCGCTGTCCGGGAAAAATTTCCCTCATAGCACACTGTATGGCGTATGCCCGTCTTCATTAGCCCAGTTCGGAGCAAAACAGTAGGACGTTAAACCCCATTTCATTTGTTATCAACATTGACTTTATTACCTTCTCTATCTCAGCCATTCCTGATCAACTGACTTTGAATAAAACATTAGCTATATAGTTTGTTGATTTTAAAAGAAGATCATTATGATAAAACAATAAAAATTGTCAAAATGCAAATATTTTCTGTCTGAAAGAATCAACTTTTCAACCCCTCTCTCTCTTTCTCTCTCTCTCTCTCTCTCCCAACCCCCCCAATTTTACAAAAAGTTGTGTGAAGCTGGAGCTTGTCTAGTTGAGTTGAATATCAGATGTTATAATAAAATTATATATATTTTTTTTAGGAGTTAGGTATTTTATCTTTGAATGCTTATTTTCACTTATGGGATGTAGAAACATTTCAACTTGTAAGTATAATTTTACTGAGATTATATTATTACCTCAAAAATATGTATAACTCAAGCTACCAGTAGAATAAATGATCTATAGTTGAAATCAGATCAACTTGTAAAAATACTTGTGTGAATGAGAGAAGAAGCACCTGATGGGTGAAAAACTTGTATCAATGTAATGTAGTTGATAAAATTTGGTGGGTTTTGAAATACATGTACATATTTTTAGGATGATTAAAGAGATGTATTTATATGTTTTAGATAAACAGTAGAAGATTATCTCACTATAAAGAATGTGTTTGTATGACTGTAAGTGAAGAGAAGAAATTGTATGCTATAGGTTCACAGTCTCATGTTACATTATTAGATCCACGTAGTCCAGTTGCTAATCCTCAAACAGTTCCGTCTAAACACAGAGACAGAGGTTAGTTCATTATTTAGATATAGTAAAACAAGAAATGATCATGTGTGTCCTTCAATACAAGGAATGATCGTTACTACAGTGTTTTCTTTAACTAAAGTACACATACATACTTAAATTTGGTTGTGATAATGTCTTTAAATTCCTGCTAAAAATTTTGTTTACTACTACTACTACATTAGCACTATGTGAATGACCCAAAACTTGCCATGCATGAGATAGCCTTGATTGTCGGATACCAACTGAGTATTTTCTGCTTAGGTTAAGCAGACAAGCAATTTGATATTATAAGGCTAAGCAGACTTAAGCAATTTGATATTATGGATTTATAATTTGATCAGATGTAAAATCAGTAATCAAAATCAGCTAACAAGATATATAATTGTTTAGTTATGATTACTGTTACTTATAGTACTTACACTATATTTCAGGTATACGATCAGTATGTTTTAATAGTGATATTATTAGTATAGGTACTGGTATAGGATATATGTTATTTTATGATCTACGAGCGAATAAATACTTAGAACATGGTTGTAAACATTCTTTATCACTTAATGTGAGCAAAGGTTGGTTGGTAAGTACTCTGGAAAAAAGAAAAATCACTATTTATTTTAAAATGTCAATGCATTTATGATGCATTATATGTATAAATTGTATTAAGAAAACAAAATCAAAATATCAACAGTAGATAATCTCACAGCTTGGATTCAATCAGATTAAAAAGAGGCCCATCAAAAGATTTCAGCAAAACGTATAGTTGTCACTGGCTGTATATGGTCAGCAATGGATGCAAAATGTTGAATTCATCATATCTTTGTAACTACTGAACAGAATTGAACCATTTTCAGACAAATATTCCCTTTAGAGATTCAACTCTAAAATTATTGTTAAATATAAATTATTATTGTTTTCGTAATACACTCCATTATTCTTTTTCTTTTCAGAGATTAGATGATAATTTTAGAGATTTTTTTATTGATCAGGAATATCCAAATGCTATTTATACACATAGTTATGATGAGAGTGGAACACGATTATTTGCTGCTGGTGGTCCCCTGCCTGCAGGGTTGTGGGGAAATTATGCTGGAATGTGGTATTAATATGTGTTTAAGTTAAGACATTAATATACTGCTGTTATGGCAGCTTATATATGAATAGACGGTAACTGTGATGACTTTTAATTAAACCACAACAATAGTGAGACGCAATGAAAACACACCAATGATTCAACAGGAAGGGTTAGTGAAACATAAAAAAAAATGACACAAGATAATCAACGACAATCCATGGAAGCCATATAACAAATTTACTGTACGATAAAACGTAGGTGCTAGGGGTATAAAATCAAAAGTCACAAACATGTGACATCACCTCTAGCAGCCACATACGCATGCAATGTTGCCAGATGTACAGGAGATAACCCTCTGAATGGCTGCATCTAGGATCCTTCTCCATTCTCAATGCAATGCTACTTCCACTCCAGTGTCTCTGGTACGCATGGCAACTTGATTTAATAAAATGATGCACTCTCACTGTTCAGGTGTTAACCTTGGCATATAATTACATCTTCCACTTAACTATAGGAGTTGTACGTACCCAATCTTTGTAAAACCCATGTCTGCACCATAAATTAGTGAATTTTAGCATTCCCATTCTGTTGAATTAAATTTCTTGTGTTTTGAGGAAGTTATTGTGTGTTATGTTCACACAATCTGTAAAAACATCATTCTCGTATGTTATCGACCTGATCTGATGTTGTTACATTTTCAATTGCAAGATTAAACAAAAGTTTGTCTTATCAAACAAGATTTATAATTGCCCATTTATAAAATTAGTGCACTTTTATTGCGTCTCTGTATATTAGTAGACATTCTTAAGCTTACATACAGGAATAAATGGAAACTGTGATGACTTTTAAAAAAAAAAAACCACAACAGTTTATATAATGTTAGTAGACTGGGGTCAACATTGTTAAAAGTCATCATTCTTAGTGTGACTCGTGCCAAGATTTTCATTATTAAATGACTGTTATAACCAAAGTAAATCTTGTGCAAACCTGGTATATTTTATCTTATCAATATTTGCTTTTCAGATATAATTCATGCTTTCTAAGCATCTTTTCCATTTTTGTATGCCAACATTGAAATATATTCGTGTTGCCCATTTTGTATGTTCCATTTGAATTTTAACTAAACTTAAACACACAATTTTTTATGACTTAATAAAATGTGACTGTAAAAATACTGTCACCTATGATCTGTATGTTTACTTTAGTGAGACAAAGAAGCTTATCGAATTTCTTGCATTACCTATAAAATCTACAAAGTTATTGTCCATAGGCCATACCCATTTTCATGTGGACGTATATTGTCGTCGCCCCTGTCCATCCACAATTGTTTGTTCACAATTTTTATCCGATTTCACGTTTTTAGCTTGTGGACCCCATAGAGGTCACAATTTTTGTCTGATTTAAAAAAATGTTTGAATATATTACCGTTACACCCTAAGGATGGTTGAGTTCGAATTTCGTAAAAACTGACGAACAAAATGGCCGCCCCTCGTTCGCAAATAGTGTCAAAGTATTGTGTATCAGTGTTGTGGACCCTCTGGAGGTCACAATTTTCATCTGATTTTGATGACACTTGAAATGCATATTTATAACCCACAGATCTCGGTTCCTTTCTATTGTACATATCGAAATGTAACTTCCTGAATTATGGCCCCCGATTGTACTAAAAAAGTATGTGTTTTGTTGTTAATTATTATCCGATTTAAAAAATGTTCGAATACATCACTGTTACACCGTAATTTTGTCTGAGTTGGAATTTCATGAAAATTGGACCAAAACTGCCAGACAATATGGCCGCCCCTCGTACACAAATAGTGTAAACATCTGGTATATCAAAGTTGTGGACCCTCTAGAGGCCACAATTTAGATCCGATTTTGATGAAACTTGAAATGTAAGTTTATAATCCAAAGATATCGGTTCCTTTCAATATTCGCGGATATTGAAACGTAACTTCCTGAATTATGGCCCTGATTGTATGAAAAATCGTGTTTTTAGCTTGTGGTCTCTCTAGAAGTCACAATTATTATTTGATTTAAAAAAACGTTCAAATGTATCACTGTTACACCGTCATGTTGAGTTTGAATTTCGTGAAAATCAGGCCAAAACTGCCGGACAAAATGGCCGCCCCTCATACGCAAATAGTGTAGACATCTGGTAAATCAAAGTTGTGGACCCTCTAGAGGTCACAATTTTAATCCGATTTCGATGAAACTTGAAATACATGTTTATAACCCAAAGATATTGGTTCCTTTCGATATTCGCGCATATCGGATTGTAACTTCCTGAATTATGGCCCTTGATTGAACAAAAAATCATGTTTTTAGCTTGTGGTCCCTGTAGAGGTCACAATTTTTATCAGCTTTAAAAAAAACTTGTGAATATATCACCATTACACACTAAGATCTTGGTTCCTTTTGATAATCGCGGATACCCAAACTTAAACTTCCTGGATTATGGCCCCTGATTGTTAATGAAGGTTGAATTCGTATTTCGGGAAAATTGAAATAAAACTGCCCGACAAAATAGCTGCTCTTTGTACGCAAATTGTGTAGAAGTGTGTAATACGAAGGTTGTGGACACTCTAGAGGTCACAATTTTTATCCGATTTTGATGAAACTTAAAACATATCTTTATATTCCAAAGCTCACTCTCTTTTGATATTTGCACATTTCAGGCCATAACTTTCTGGATTATTGCCCCTGATTGTACAAAAAAACGCATTTGTTTTTAGCTTGTTCTCTATCCATCTCTTGCAAAATGTGGGCGTATCCTGCCTGGCAGCCGCTGGTATGTTTTGTAAAATCTTGTCAACCCTCCATTGATGTTTTCAAGTACAAAGATTTTATTTATTATTTATCTCATGAACAACAATTCTACAACTTTTATGGACTACTTGACCGACTTAGCTGATGTGGGCTGCATTTAAACACTGTGTGTTGTTTTTCTGAAGTTTTATGTCAATTTATATGCTGTAACAATTACATATTTTAAACTGAGGTAGACCAAAGTAGAGTATTAGATTTTCAGTAGACTATTGTCAATTTCTCACAATATCTGTAATTCAAAGTGTTGTGTGCAAGAAAAGAGATTAGAAAAGGACAGAAATGAGAACTACCAGTACTCATATTGAAAAGTAAGACTACGTAGATTTTGTGATATGAAAAGTAGTAGGTACTAGTAGCCATATATATACCGGAATACTGTTAGTTATTGTTATTCATATACACTGGAACCTCACTATAACTTATAAGGTGGCAGAGGCCTCAGTGTATAACCTTTGAATAAAATGTGGTACTAGCTGGTATATGTATATATTTGGAACATTTTTACCCCAAATATATAAATTTATACCTTGTTAATGTTTATTGCCATTTATGGTTAGAGCTTATTTTATAAGTGTATGGTTTTCAAAAAAATAAGAAACTCCTTAGGATCATATTGATCCAAGTTCATGTTAAATATACAATTATTTAATCCAATGTTACAAGATACTGTATATATTGTCATTGTAAATATTAGAATTGTATTTAAAGGAACTGTATCTTTCTGATTAGTGTAAACCAAAATGATGACCATCTTGAGGATCTTCTTTTCAGCCAGTTTCTTTTCTACTTATATTTTAATGTTTGGCTGATGACTGCTAAAACATTCCGCAAAGCATATCTCAACATTGGCTGAATTTAAGAATATTCAGATGTTACATTAACCAATCAATTCTAATAAATTTGACATTTTGAGATTTTCATAAAAACCAGCGAGATCCTGTCCTTTTAATATTCAAAATATTTGTCACAGAAGTTTATTTACTCACAATGTGACTAATCTTTCTTTCTCTATGGGTCTTGGTCGTAGTTCAATTCAGCTCGCAACTCATAAACTTTATATTGTGAGGATCTGAATAGTATTGTGAAGAATTTAAGTGTCCCATAAGAAAATTTTACACATTTTGATCTAACTTTTATATCCTTGATAGGAAAATTTGTCCAAAGTTTGTATATAAAATATTTGTTCAAGATCCATTCCACCAACAGAATCCAAATTTCACAAGATCCATTTAAGTGCTGTTCATATCAATATGGGTATTTTTAAATGGAATATGCTTCAAATACTCTCTGTTAGTTTCTTGTATTTGTCAATTGGGATTTCTGATGTTTTGATGATAAATTGTCCAAGTATCGCATGACAGTTTATGATAATTTTTCAATTTTCATATGTTGGTGTATATTTACCGTTTCTTTTTATGAAATCATTTAATCGTTTTACACTGGAATTTTTTTATATTTTTTTTGAAAACCTTAAATTGAACATGCTTTTTGAAATTGAAATTTGGCATGGTTTCTAGATTTGTTTATTTTGTGACATTTAAATAATGAATTGCTGTGTGATATTTAAATGTTTTAAATCTTATCTAAATAATACAATCAGATTAAAACACAGATCCTATTTCGTTTCGTTTTGTTATAGTTCAAAATTTCGTTTTATTTGTCTGTACCACACTATCTAGGATCAAGAAGAGTTGTTAATAACCTGCATTCTGGATGGCGTGAGGGATTAGCCAATGAAACCATCTGTTACAGCGACTTCGAAAGTATAAAAAAAAAATGAAACGAAATATAGATCTGTATTTTAATCAGATTGCTAAATAATATTGTTATTTGGGTAAAAAGGGTTTGTTTTTTTAAAACATTGAATGAACATGTATATAATAAACATTATCTTAACCAATTCTGTGAGTTGATTTTTCAGAAATGGCATACAATATGTATTTTAGTGTTAAAACTTGTAAAATAGTGTACATTTTCCCCATATTTCAATGTTATGACTTATGTTATATAATTTGTTGCAGCTATGTGGATGTATTTAGCTGAATAAAAATGAATCGTTAAAAACCCAATCTATTCTGTTGTCACAGACAATATTACCATATCTATACCCATGATGAATTTATAGTGGTAAGTTATTACGATTATCAAGTCACCCATATAAATGATTAATGAAATTCCTTAAAAGAGCAATGTAACCTCTTCAGCAGTAAGGCACTGGCCTAACCAGGATGTCTTTAGGTTGCTCTCGCTGGGTATGTCGAGACAGTTCCTCTGGACTTTCTGGTGTGGTTTCCCTATGTCAGTGACTCAGTGGTATAGGCATACTGCACACAGAGATCCATCTACTTAATCAAGCTAAGTGTAGACAGGCAGCCTTAGTTTGGGATGTGGTATATGATGGAGGGCCTGACAAAGAACACTGTCTAGTCTTTCTGATGGGACAGAAAACTAAGGTCTTGCGTACACATTGATGTGCATGTAAAAGAACCCATGACAGTTGGAATTTGGGCAAAATTTCCCTCATACCACACTTCATGGTGATGGTGTATACCTGTCTTTATTAGCCCAGGCAGTAAATCAAACAGGATGTGAAACCCCACTTCAGTCAGTGTCCAAGGCATGCTAGGCGAGGCTTGTCGAATTCCCCATTAACACCTAATTACTCCTAAATAACACCCAATGACTTCAAAATTCAGACTTTGGAACCACAAATTAACAATTTAGTTAAAGGAGCTAAGTCTCTTACTCAATATCATCCAAAATCTTCAACATTTAAAACACGAATTATTTGTCAATTTAAAACAACATTGATGCTGTGATCTTACCGGAAAAATGTGGGCTTCTGATATCCAATATTTAAGACAAAATAAATATTTTACCATTGGTACACGAATCGTGTACCATAATGTGTTTCAGCCCCAGTTCTAGCAAGAGACTAGAGGAACGAGGCTAGACATATTGCAGCAAACCAAACGGCGTATGTAGACTGGAATAACCAGACGCTAGGAATTTGCACTCGATTGAGACTGCTGGCTTATTTCACGGAACATAACTGATTTGAAATTAAAAACGGAAACGATTGAATGTAAATCAGTTTATGTACATTCATATTACAGTATTATATGAGTTGCGACCCACTTGTGTCAATTTCTAGGTCCCAAATATTAGCGATTTAGCTCCTTTAAAGAAGCGTCCATTTTGTGCCAAAACCGGAGCTTAAAGCTCATTCGCGAGAAGGAATATAACACATGCTTTAATACATTTGCATAAATATCTGAATTCAGAAACTTCTAAATTTGGCGATATAACACGTGCATTAATATATATCCATAAATATCACAATTCAGAAACTTCTGAATTTGGCGATCCCTCAGAATAGCTGCTTCTGGTATCCTTTAGCTCCTTTAAAAGACCTTGCAACGTGCAATATTATAAAAGTTGAATTTCTAATAAGAATATCAATCCCAAAATGATGCAATTCCTTTCAGCATTTACAAAGATATGATGAAGCAAAATTTGATCGATCTATGCTGCCCCTTTATGTTACATGTTAATGGTACACCTTTACGTTTTTTAATTCTCTGTTATGGTTTCTTTTTCTTTATAGAATCTGTTGACAAAACAGGTTTACCTTCATTCTAAGTTGAACCTTGCCCTATTTTACAATCTATTAACCTGGAGTATTAAGTCGTTAGAAATTTGATATATATATAGCTAGTTTACGACAAAATGTAAATCACAGTTACTTTAAGTGTTGAATTGTTAATTACTGGAATAAACACATATTAGTCGTTAAGGAGGTAGACTTAATGGCCGTATTAAGCCTGAAAAGGAGCACTGGGGCCTTGATTCAACTTATGGCATATCATGGGGGCCATATTCTGGTCATTGTCTGTCACACTCGCACAACACATATTTATTTATGGCACACTTCTTTTTAGAACTCATTTGGGGGCCCCTTTTATATTCGTATAGGAATGCTTATCAAATGCCAAAAATGTGACAAAATAATCCATTTACTTAATCTGGAAGTTTTGAATCGAACTACTGAGATGTTCAGGGATGATTGCTAGATTTCGTTTACAGTTTTAAATAACTCATAGTTGTTCATTTATATGGCAGAATTGAAGGTTTGTAACTCATCGGTGCACCCCTCATCGCAAAAGTACCAGCTAGGGGGCTTTAATAGATAGTTGTGCAGAACTATGTATGGTTTAATGGTCGAGAGTGAGACATTAAGTAATATATTGATACTGCACGAGGCGTCAGCCGAGTGTTGTTTCAATATATTACGCAATGTCTTTAGCTCGAGACCATTAAACAACTTAAAATACAGACACTATCCTGCACATGCTTTTTAATGAAATACGTCACATGAGTCCAATATTCCATCTAGTATAGATAATGTACGATTGGCAAGTTGCCCATACATTATTGGAAATAATAGTATGCCAACATCAAAGGATGACGTCACATCTGTATTTTAAATATAGATAAAGGTTTCTAAGATGGTTTATATATAACCAGTTTTATTCACTAAAATATATGTGTGACGGTCCCTTTAAAAGTGTACAGAATACATTATAACCGAACATGTTTGGCTTAATTATAGAGAAATGAAATGGGGTTTAACGTCCGACTGGGCTAATGCAGACAGGCATATGCCATACAGTGTGCTATCCACAAAATTTTGCCCGGACAGAGGCATTAAGGCCTACTGTTATATCGAATTCCAACTGCCAAGGGATCTTTAACGGGTACGCCAATGTGTATACACGGGACCTTGGTTTTTTGTCCCATCTGGACGACTATAGCCTATGTAAGTATGTTGTCCATTGCCATGCAGCTTGGCCCTCTGTCCTGCACCGCTGGCAAGGGGGGAACCAGTTGCCGGATAATCTTCATGAATTTTCTCGGTCAATGCAGGGATCGAACACCCAACCTCCAGCTTAGAGAGCCAACGTCTTACCCACTTAGCCACCGTGTTCCCTTAATTAAAGAGAACAAGTACCCAACTTAAAATTCAGTTCGAAAAAATAATTTGCATGTAAATCCATTTCGTATTCCAGGAACACCGGGGTAGCTTTAAGCAAATTATAATATTTTGACGGTTTATAAACTGTGCCTTTAAATACTTCAGATACATTTTCTGAACAACAGCTAGACTAAGACTAGTAATTATTTCCCCTTATGGACTAAGACTAGTAATATGTAATGCGAGTTATAAATAGACAATTTTTCCCTTAATTGGTTGACTTTTTGGTCTAGAATTGGAGAAAAGGGATCAAATTTGCAATTTCATAGCAGTTTTGGGTAATACTGATGATATTGTAGCGGAGGGATAGGGGGTGTAAAGTGTCTGTGCAGAGCAATCATTGTGTCGGAAGTGAGATTTTCACCCCAGTCAACTTCAAATCCGCGTAGCAAAAAATCTAAATGATCAACCCCTACAAAATTATGATGAGGAGATTGCCAAATGTTGTCCCCACTGTGCCTATAAAGATTGGAACCAACGGAATGTTGAGCAAAAAGCTACAGCCTGGGATGTTACAGTCATTTTAACATTGAAGTCAATGGGCAAATAATTGCTAGTCTGAGTCCAGCTGCATACAATGAGTTACCACCCCCGTCCGCCGCCGCACGCCGCACGAGACAATGAAGAATTCGCTGGATGACCAGGACGTCAGTGAAATCACGTGCACGGTATGGGCTAATCCGAGCTATCGAGAAATAAAATAAATTGAAAGTAGTCTATTTTTAGTAACTAGGTTACAATCTGAACGACAGACTCACCCTACCTGCAGAGAAGCGAAAAAAAAAGCCAGCTACCATTTAATTTTCGTACGTTAGTTACGTACGACTAGGTTATTGTCTGATGGCGACACATATCCTTTTACAAAATAAAAAGGGTTTTATCTCTTCTGAAGTATGTAATCACGAATGTGCCAGGAAATAACAAGTTGATTCAAAGAGCCATAGAAACTTACCTTCCGGTGATGTATGAGACGATACTTGTATTGACAATATTATGATTAAACACTCTATTGCCCCACCCCACGGCCACCACCCATGTGTATCGTAACTAAACAATCCTAATATTTCAGCAAACATTAGAAAATATCTTTATGTTTCAGATTTCCAAGTTCATCAAACCATGAAGTCACTACAGTGTCTTGCAGCCGAAATAATTGGTGAAAATGGTCATAATTTTAGCAACAGTTATCTTGAAGGTGTTGATTTTATTCCATCATATCATGGACCTTATAATTATAATAATAAGGTCCATGACTCCACATATTAAAGTAGCTAAGTCTCTAATTCAGTATCATGCCAAGTCTTATTTGTCAATTCAAATCAACATTGATATTGTGATCTTACCGGGAAAAGGTATAGGCTTCTGATATCCAATATTGAAGACAAACTAAACATTTTACCATTGGTAGCCTATACGAATCGTGTACCATAGTGCGTTTCAGCGTCTTTTGTAACAAGTGACCCGAAAGACAGAGGCTTGACATATTCCACAACTCATGTCAAACGGTGACGCCATATCTTTATCTGGAGAGCATGCGCAATAGACTGGAATAACCAGACGCTAGAAATTTCCATTCAGTTGAGACTCATGCCATATTTCACTGGACATAACTGATTTGAATTTAGAGTCAAAACAGAAACAATTGAATGTAAATCAGTTCATATACAATCAGATTACATTATTATATGTGTTTCGACCCATTTGGGTCAATTTCACTGTAACCCAGGTATCGTTTAATCTTGTGTATCTAGCACTAATTTCTTTCACATTCGTTTAATATCCAATCTTTGTTTAAAAATTTGTAAAAACTGTTTAAAATCACCATAAATCGTTTAATTTGTACTTCTGTCCAGTTTAAAAGCTGACCATTCAATTTTGATAATGAGTGTCCAATTTACAAGTGTTTAATTTCTCAATCATTGTTAATAAATAAACAACCCAATTGATTAATGATGTATAATGATTAATTTTTGAACAGTGATCAGGAAATTAAATACTTGTAAATTGGACACTCACTATCAAAATTAATCAGTCAGCTTTAAACTGGACACATGTACAAATTAAACGATTTATGGTGATTTTAAAGTTTTTATGAATTTTTAAACAAAGATTGGATATTAAACGACTGTGAAAGAAATTAGTGCTAGATACACAAGATTAAACGATACCTGGGTTACAGTGTTTCTAGGCCCCAAATATTAGCGATTTAGCTCCTTTAATATTAGCTTATATCACATGGATGCATTATTTTGTTTTAAATGGAATGACCTCTATTTTGTGATTGTTTCAAAGTTCACAACTATTCAGTGAAATGATTTAAAATTATGTCACTGCTTCAACTTTCTCTGTATATTATATATGGTCTTATAATAATACCGATTTTCAAATGTAGCCTACCGGTAGCCCTAGGCCTATTTCAGTTAAAACACCATGTACTGATGTAGACTTGTGCTTTGTGCCTCCTATCAAATCATCCATGACCGCTTTACACAAAGGTAGGCAGTGGGCATGAACCTAAGCTTATTCATGACAGTTCTGTGTATTTTTTTGTTTAATAATTTAAATGTAGATATTCGGCTCAATTAATTTGTTCAACGTCGTAGGTGAAATTCTATGTCCCATATTATCTTGCACAACTACCAGCCGATAGACTGACATGACAAGCAAAAATGTTACGAGAAACCTCTTATATTTTTTAAAGTAACCCACGAAATGATGAGCTAGAAAAGCCAATTTTTCGGTTCATTCAAGGATGCAAATGTGGTGTGCAGTGTGAGTGGGTTGGTATCTGGGATGCCTTATATAGATGGTTCTGTCCTATGGCTGTTACTTACTAGATTGTTGGGAATTCAGTTTGGCTCACTCGGTTACAATGAAGGGGTCTGCAGGATTCAATTCCTGACAGGTGCATTCTGGCACTACATCAGATCCACAATGACGAGTTGTATAATTCTTTGATATAGACCAAAGAGTCTGATTGTAACCTATAGTTACAAACTGGTGTCTTGGTGACCAAGAAAGGGTTGGTTGATAGACAGTAGACCCACAAAGTCAAAGCAAAAAGTAAACAATAACAATCAATTTTCATAAAGTCAACACAGTAATGAAATAAACACCAAATAACTGTATTATTATAATTAACCTTTCAGATATTCCTAGGCCTGTTTTTGCAGATTTGCTCTCCTATCTTAGTCCAGAAACACTGAATAGATTATCTGAAACCATATATAAACAGAGTAAGTGTATGTGATAGCGAAACAGAAACATATGGCCAGATTTGATTTTTGGTTCTTCCTTGTAGCAGGCTGTGAGCAATAACTGTTTTTTTTCTCTTAATATTTTAAAATTTTAAAATTGGGGTCCAAGATTTTGAGAAGTAATTTTAAGACTAATTCAGATTATAGGGCAATAACTCTATGATAATTTGTTGCATGACTAATATTTTGATAAACCTATAGCTAAGTTTTGAATAATTTTCTGTATATTTTAAGATATAAACGTTGAATCTCTATGGTGCAGACATTATGAAGAAAGATGGCACGTAGTGTGTATAGAAGGGTACACTAATGTAAAGTATGATGAATTTCAACACAGAAATGAATCTTCTGTCTGTCAAGTTTACCATCAGAAACATCTTAAAGATATTGTAGAATGGACAGTTAATAAAAGTAGCAAAGGTATCATTGTTAGAAAAATTGAATAATCAATCATGGAATGATGATAATGTATTCAGTTAACATAATAAGATCAGCAGCCCAAAGCATTTTGGTCAAACGAACAAAGTACTATTCAAGTACAGAAACATATATATTGTGAAACCTAATAGACCGAAGGCTCAGTGCGGCGGGGTTGGTGGGTAGGGATGAGCGGGTGGGAGTACTATCAAATGGGCAGAAAACCAGACCCAGCTTTTCTACAGTAAAATTTTGCATAGAATACGTTGCCGAGTGGTAATCAGTCCGCCGTTGGGGCGTTTTTGAGATATTCAGGGTCAAAGGTCAAATGAGGTCATTTGCACTGAAAGTGAATGTGCATCCATTCTTGTATCATTAACACATGCTGAAAATGATCACTCATTTCAATAAAAATGTAAACTTGCTAAAATCATCTTTGTTCCTTGTGACCCAAGAGGTCAAAAGGTAAAATTTTCCATTTTTGCACTAGAAAGATTTAAAGCAATAAAATGTCAGCTAAAATATAAAAACTAAAGCGAAACTTGTTCTACTTAATAATAGGAACATTTAAAATTGAATAGTGTTATGGTTGGACTGCAGGCTGTGTGGATTTCCTTTAATCCCAATCTGGGAAAACCGGCTTTAATCGTGACCGGAAAACATGTAACTGAAGACGTGATTACAAGTTTGAAATTTTTTTATGAGTTTTCATGAATTTCCCCGGAACGTGGACACAGATAAAACCGACGGATGCATTGTACCTAATAGGGACATAAATGCCGTATTGGTAAATGTTACCGGGGAAAAGTTTGCCAGGCTTCGTGACGCGGCCTGCAGGCTGGAGTCCAACCATAAAACTATTCAATTATTTTCTCGGACAACTAGTTTCATTATGTATAGCAATCAGTGTGAAACTAAATCAAAGAGATTTTGATTTGACAGTTTTTACGTATTTTTGAAACAGGTTTCAAAGTGTTTTGGTTCTGTTATGCAAGATCTTTTTCGACGTTCCAAAGTAAACGTACGGTGCTAAGATCACCTAAAGATGAATTTTAAATGTTTCTAATATTAGTTAGAACAGGTTTCGCTTTAGTTTTTATGGTCATATAGTGTTGTCGTCCGATTTTGATGAGACTTGAAATACATATTTATTACCCACAGATGTTGGTTCCTTTCAATATTCGTACATATTGGATCATAACTTCCTGAATTATGGCCCTTGATTGTACAAAAAATCGTGTTTTTGGCTTGTGGTCCCTCTAGACGTCACAATATTTATCCGATTTATAAAAACGTTTGAATATATTACCATTACACCCTACTGATAGTTGACCAAAACTGCCAGCCAAAATAGCCACCCTTCGTACACAAATAGTGTATATTATATGGTATATCAAGGTTGTGGACCCACTAGAGGCCACAATTTTGAATTATGGCCCTTGAATGTACAAAAAATCACGCTTTTAACTTGCCGTCCATGTAGAGGTCACAAATTTTGTCTGATTTTAAAAAAACATGTGAATATATCACCATTACACACTAAAATCTTGGTTCCTTTTGATAATCACATATATTTGAACGTAAATTCCTGGATTATGGCTCCTGATTGTTCGAAAAATCGCATTTTTAGCTTGCAGATTCTCTAGAGGTCACAATTTTTTTTTCCGATTTTAAAAACCATTTAAATATTTCACCTTTGCACCATAATGAAGGTTGAATTCGAATTTCGGGAAAATCAAAATGAAACTGCCCGACAAAATGGCCGCTCTTTAGTACGCAAATTGTATAAAAGTATGCAATACGAAGGTTGTGGGTTCTCTAGAGGTCACAATTTTTATCCGATTCTGATGAAACTTAAAACATATCTTTATATCCCAAAGATCTCAGTCCCTTTTGATATTTGTGCATTTCCGACCATAACTTTCTGGATTATTGCCCCTGATTGTACAAAAAATCCTGTTTGTTTGTTCTCTATCCATCTCTTGCAAAATGTGGGCGTATCCTGCCCGGCAGCCGCTGGTTGTGAAATGAAATGGGATTTAACTTCCTACTGTTCTGCTCCAACTGGGCTAATGAGGACGGGCATAAGCCATACAGTGTGCTGTGAGGGAAATTTTCCCCGGTCACTGGCGCTACGGCTCACTCTTATATCACATTCCAACTGTCATGGATCTTTTACATGCACTCCAATGTGTTCATGGGACCTTGGTTTTTTATCTCATCCGAACGACTAGACAGCTATTCCTGCACCACTGACAAGGGGAATCCACAACAGAAACTCCTGATAAACTTTCTTGGCCAAAACCGGGAGCAAACCCGCAACCTTGGGGCTAGCGAACCAGCATCTTACCCACTTAGCCACCATGGCTTCCCAATTGAATGTGAATATTGTTTCAGCTAATATTGTTTTTAATGGAATATAATCATCATGCTTTTTCTTCTTTCTTTTTTTTAGCATATACATTAGATCCATATGCTGCTTACCGATGTCCAAGCCATATTCTGAAACATTCCAGAAATAAGATGACATTCTTTGAGAAAATTGTCATTAGTGAATTAGCAAGGAAAAAAGACAACAAATTAATTGTGAGACACATAGAGAGATTTACAATTAGGGGAGGCATGTGTGCTAATATATTAGAAGAAAAAACACTTATTTATATATTGTTGCAGTATGTAGTACATATTAAGATAGTGACAATAACAAAAACTAGTTTAGATAGTATATTAACACTTTTAAGTTTATTTCTTAAAAATTCAAAGATTCAAAGTGTAGCCTTGTGCCATATTTTAGTGAAGAAATCTCAATCATTGGAAAAACTTTTATTACAGTGTGCTGGAAATTTTCATAATTTAAAATATTCTGATTGTGCAACTGACCGTAATAGTTTGGACCAAAGTTTTCAAAATCAAAGTGCTTTTGGTGATGAAATAGACCTATTAGACGAGGCCTTGATGCCAGACAGCAGATATATCGATTTGCGTCAAAATCAGACTCAGTTAGACAGTGGAAACAGTGATATATTGAAAGCAGAAGAAGTTGTTGATTGTGCTGTTTTACCCAATAGTTTTATTTTATATGAATTTAACAACAGCGCTTTACTTCATACATTGAAGGACACTTTACCAAAATGGACAAATTTAAGAAAACTTGCTATTCATGGAATTGCAGGTTGGTATTGTCTTAGGTATTTTATTAGCTACACGCAATATATCCAGTGGCGGCGCCAGCCGTCGGTGATTGGAGGGGCAAAGTCCAAGGTTAAGGGGGCAAAGGCACGAGCTTCAACTAGGCGTAGGGGGCCTCCCCCAGAAAATTTAGAAAAACAGGTTGCCGGAAATGCAGCCTGGCAGTATTTCAGGCACTGATGGATGAAGTAAAGTGTCAAATGAACGGACTTGCGAATCACAACAAAGCCCACTCACGAGCGTCAAATTTCAGAAAATTTTGAAAAATAGACTGCCGGAAATGCTGTCTTACAGTATTCCCAGGCACCGATCGTCGAGATAAATAGATCCGACCAGATACCGTCCGTTGCCTGATCACTAATGTATCCGACTAGAGAACAAAATGTCAAACGAACGGACTTGCGAACCTCAACGAATTCCCCTTGTGAACACCAAAGTAGCGAGTCCATTGGGGACCTCGCCAAGTTTATGACTGAGTGGGGATGTGGGATTTATTCACCGTAGAAGGTATTGATTACCGAAACGTATCACAAATACTTTTTTTTATTTTCTAAAATTATTGGGGGGGCAAACAGAGGGCAGACCAGATTAATGGGGGGGCAAATGCCCCCCCTTGCCCCCCCCCCCCTGGCGCTGCCACTGAATATTAAATTTATAAAAAATTTCATCAAATACGTTGAACATGTTGACTATATAGGACTTAAATTTGGGGGTTAGTAACATTTACTATCTATATGATATTGGCCAGAATTATTTGCATCTGTGTATACTATTTTTGAAAATTGAAACTGTCTCCCATCTCAATTCTAAGTTTAGCCTTTTCTAGTTATAAATAGCTTGTTGATTATTTGTGCTGGATGGGTGTTTTGTATGCAATGGATTTAAAAATCACCAGTTTCGTATACACTTATATGAGCATTGTGATTTTGGCAAAATGGAAGTGCTTGACCAGTTACATAATTTATCTACTAATCAAATTTCGGTGGCAAAAATTATTCCAGAATTTAATAAAACGTTTGAATTTGATTATAAGAAACCTGAATTCTACATCCATTTCTTGTCTCCATTTCAATTTTAGATTTTGAAGTAGAAAGCCAATTATTTGATGTTATATTACCATTAATTAATTGGCGACAGTTAACAGATTTAAGCCTTGAAATACTTCTACATAACAGTCTTCATATAGCCAGTCTCTTACATCAGTTAATAACAACGTATAGTAACAGTGATATAAACAACAGGTAACAACATAACGTTCTCTTTCATTTGTTAAAAAATAGGTAATGTAATAAAGTCTTGATTATCCATTTTTATAGGCCCACATTGAAATGAGATCGCATACTGTTGTTGCTCCCGTCTGTTTGGCTGTTGGTCCTGCGTCCACAATTGCTTGTGGACAATCTAGAGACTAAAGTGAATATCCGTGCAGTCCCCCTGCACTTACTATTTAAGGTCATGAGACAAAGAATCTTATTCGATTTAATGATTTCTGATAATTACTGCCAGAGTTATGGCCCTTGTTCACTTGAAAATACCTTGTGGACGCTCTGGAGGGAAAAGTTAATATCCGATTGACTGTAAATTTATACACAGTGTTTAAGGTCATGAGACAAAGGATCCTAGTCTTTTTCATCGATTTCTGATAATTACTACCAGAGTTATCACTTTGAAAAATCTTGTGGACGCTCAAGAGGCTAAAGAGAGGCTAAAGTTAATATAAATTGTTTAAGGTCATGAGACAAAAAATCTAAACAAATTCTAATGACTTCTGTTAATTACTTAAACATGCATTATGCAAGAGCAAAATCTGCTTATTACAAGTCTTTCTTTAGGCCTGAAATGTCATCTAAATTATCAATTAGACATTAATTAACTTATCCAGGCCATAATAAACTCTCAATGTCAAGGCTAGCCTTCGATGTTGGCTGGATTAGATTCCTATATGCCGCTAACGGCTATTGATAATTAAATCAATAAAAGTGGATAATCGAGCATATGCTGTTTATATAAATGATTTTAATAATGATGACCGAGACTATGCAAAAATTGAGACTATGTTTTTTATCGTACCGACTTTAGTAATGATGATTGAGACTAGGCCAAAAGTTCAAAAGCTAATATCTTGGTTGAGAGTGGATCAATTTGACTGAAATTTTCAGGAAAATAATCTTTACACTATCTAGTTTTTAACTATTATAGGGAGAACTGCCATCTCTTTATCTTATCTCCCATAATGTATCTTTAATGGGTAATTCAAATTGGTTGAAAATTGGACCCATCAGATGGCATAGAGAGTTGATTATGGTCTTGTCATGTTAATAAATGTCTTATTAATAGTTTATATAACATTTAAGGCCTAAAGAAAGACCTGCAATAGACAGATTTAGCTCGTGCATATTGCCTGTTTAAGCATAAGGATAGACAATTTGATTGTTTTATAAAAAAAAGATAAATCTGCAAGAAATTAATGAGTGTCATCTATTTGTTTTGGCATTGAGATAAGGAACATCAGCCTCAATGTGTTGTCTTGTTCTTTTATGTATTGCTTCACCGATCTTCACATTAGGAAATATGTGTATCACAATTTTGGATTAGATAAAAAAAATCTGCAATTAACATCAGAAATTGTAATGTTTTCTTGAAGACTAAAGGGAGATAATTATTGTAATAACATCTTTCTTCATTTCAGTCTAGGAATAGATAATCAGCCATTAAATTCATTTAAAATAGGACCTTGTAACCGCATGTACACACCTGAGATATCAAATTCTAAAATTGAAATTGAAAGATTCCACAGTATGAATATTCCAGGTACATTTTATTGTTGATTTAAAAATTTAAGTGTGTTCGTGTGATATTACTTTATTTAACATCTGCCTCCATAGTAAAGCAATATGAAATTAAAACAACCTAATTTATTACTGCACGTAAATATTATACCCTGGTTACAGGAAGTAGCTTATAAATTGTTTTTATATGCCCACATTGAAATGTGGCCGTATATTGTCGTCGCCCCTGTTCGTTGGTCTGGCGTCCACAATTGCTTGTGGACGCTCTAGAGGCTAAGGTTAATATCTGATTGACTTTAAATTTATACACAGTGTTTAAGACCATGAGATGCAGAAGCCTATTGATTTTCAACGATATCCAATAATTACTGCCAGAGTTATGATCCTTGATTACTTTGAAATATCTTGTGGACACTCTAGAGGCTAAATTTAACATCTAATTGACTTTAAATATATACACAGTGTTGAAGGTCATGAGACAAAGAATCCTATTGATTTTCAACAATATCCGATAATTACTACCAGAGACATGGCCCTTGATCACTTTGAAATATCTTGTGGACGCTCTAGAGGTTAAAGTTAATATCTGATTGACTTTAAATTTATACACAATGTTTGAGGTCATGAGACAAAGAATCCTATTGATTTTGAACAATTTCCGATTTTTATTGCTAAAGTTATGACCCTTGATCACTTTGAAAATCTTGTGGATGCTATAGAGACAAAAGTTATCATCCGATTGACTTTAGATTGATACACAGAGTTTAAGGTCTTGAGACGAACAAATATATATCAGCTAAATCCATGATATTAAATGTTTCGTATACAAAACGTTAGCATGGGGCAGAACTTAAAAGCCAAACAAATTCTAAAGATTTTCTGACAGTTACTTAATGAGTTGTTACTCTTAATCAGATTTTAATGTATTATAAATGTTTTATTACCGACAATAAAAAAAATATGCGACAAATCTTGTTGACTGGTCGGACAACTTAGCTGCTGTGGGCGTATGTTTCGTTGCCTGGCAACCTATCTTTAATGAATCCATAAATGTTCCACAGGCTCATTTAACAAATACACAACCCTGATAAATGTTGTTGACAATCATGAATGTGACCCGTGCTGGCATAATAATGAGTCGGAATGAGGAAATTTTGAAAATTAAATTATTATTGTTTTCATATTCTTCATCTTAATACCTTCAAAATGATGTATGTTTGGTTTGAATTGCCCAAAAATTAACTGAACTGTGTCTGTTTTAAGCTGACTAAGTCCAGGAAGTAAGTTTCGAGAAAAAGCAAGTTAAAGATGTCCGTATGTTCCAAAACAAAATCACAAAGAAACCATGTCATTTATTTGCTATTTTTCGATTAATTGTTCCCCGCCTTTCGAAGAAAGCAGGGGACTATTAAAATGGGTTCGTCTGTCTGTCAGTCTGTATGTCTGTCCGTCCGTCCGTCTGTCTGTCACACTTTCTGGGACACAATAACTCTCCTTCTAATTGAGCTAGGATGTTTATTAGGTCAATGCCTTGATGGAGTTCGAAGATGATAATTACAGTTTGGGGTAAGCAGAGATAAGCAATTTGATTGGTTGATGCTTTGGGACATGATAACTTTAGTTCTAATTAAGTGAGAGTGAGGACACTTGGTGTATAGTTTTATCACATCAATTCCTTGAATAAGTTCGATAATGAGCATTTTCTGTTCAGAGTAAGCAGAGCGATAAGCAATTTGATTGGTCGAGACTTTGGAACACAATAACTCTTTTTCTAATTGAGGTAGAATGTTCAAACTTGGTGTAGGCCTTGATGGAGTTCGCTGATAAACATTGTCTGCTTACTGTAAGCAGAGCTAAGCAATCTGGTTGGTTGAGGCTTTGGGGCACGATAACTTTGGTTATAATTAAGTGAGGGTGATGAAACTCCGAGTATAGATTCATTATATCATTAACTTGACTAAGTTCAATGATGAGAATTTTCTGCTTAGGCTAAGGAGCGATAAGCAATTTGATTGGTCAAGACTTTGGAACATAACAGCTCTGCTTTTAATTGAGGTAGAATGTTTAAACTTGATGTAGATGTTCTTTAGGTGAATGTCTTGATTGAGTTCAGTGATTAACATTTCGAGCTAAAGCGAAACTGAGCTAGGCAATTTCAATGGTCGATGCTTTGGGACAAGATTCTATCTTATAGAGAGTGATGAAACTTAGTGTATAGTTGATAATCAGTTTGATTATTTGATAACTTTGGAAAAAAATAAACGTCCGATTAATTGATACGTGTCAACTATTTATTTTGGGATTTCAGCAGGGGACATCAGCCTCACTGTTGGCTTGTATATCTTTCTATAGGTTTTCAGGGGTGCTGAAGCTGAAGACGAACATCGTAGTAAAAATTTGATTTGACAATTTCCATCATATTTTTATACGCCCACATTTTCATGTGGATGTATTATGCCGTCGCCCCCGTCTGTCCACAATTTGTTTGTGGACATTCTACAGGTCACAATTTTTATCTGATTTTGACGAAACTTAAAATATAGGTCTATCTTCTAAAGATCTCGGTTTTTTTCGATATTGGCATGTATCGGGCCATAACTTTATGGATTATGGCCCCTGATTGTAAGAAAAATCACTCTAGAGGTCACCATTTTCACTCAATTTTGATGAAACTTGAAATGCGTGTTTATAACCCACAGATCTTGGTTCCTGTCGATATTCACGCATATCAGATCATAACTTCCTGAATTATGGCCCCTGATTGTAAGAAAAATTGCATTTTTAGCTTGTGGTCTCTCTAGAGGTCACAATTATTATCCGATTTAAAAAACGTTTGAATGTATCACCGTTACACCATAATGTTGGTTGAGTTTGAAAATGGCCGCCCCTCGTACACAAATAGTGTAAAAATATGGTATATCAAGGTTGTGGACCCTCTAGAGACCACAATTTTTATCCGATTTTGATGAAACTAAAAATTTATGTTTAGATTTTGGTTCTTTTCAATAATCGCGCATATTTGAACATGACTTCCTGAATTATGGGCCCTGATTTTTCGAAAAATTACATTTTTAACTTGTGGACCCACTAGAAATCATAATTTGTATTCAAGTTTAAAAAAACGTTACACATCAATGAAGGTTGAGTTGAATTTCATAAAAATCTGAGTGAAACTGCTGTACAAAATGGCTGTAGGGAAGTAGTGTAAAAGTATGTAATACCAAGGTTGTGGACACTCTAGAAGTCAAAATTTTTATCCAATTTTGATGAAACTTGAAATGTATGTTTATAATCCAAAGATCGTGGTTCATTTTGATATTTGCGCATATTGGACTGTAACTTCCTGGATTATGGCCCCTGATTGTACGAAAAATCACACTTTTACCTTGTGGACCCCCGAGAGGTCACAATTTTTATCCAATTTTAAAAATCGTTTACATTTATCACTGTTACACCCTAATGACAGTTGAGTTCCAATTTCGTGAAAATCGGACCAGACCTGTCTGACAAAATGGTGGCTCCTTGTATGCAAATAGTGTAAAAGTATACCATACCAAGGTTGTGGACCCTCTAGAAGTCACAATTGTTATCCGAATTTGATGAAACTTAAAATATATGTTTATGTCCCAAAGATCTTGGTTTCTTATGCTACTTGCGCATATCAGACCATAACTGTCAGATTGTGCTTTTTAGTTTGTGGATTCTCAAGAGGTCAGAATTTTTTATCCAATTTTAAAAAGAGTTTAAAATATTTCACTATTCCACCATAACGAAGGTTGTGGACCCACTAGAGGTCACAAATTTTATCCGATTTTTATGAAACTTAAGTTAAAATACATTTTATATCCCAAATATCTCAGTCCCTTTCGATATTTGTGCATTTCAGACCTTAACTGTCTGGATTATGGCCCCTGTTTGTATGAAAAATCGTTTTGTTTTTAGCTTGTTCTCTATCCATTTCTTGCAAAATGTGGGCGTATCTTGCCTGGCAAATGCTGGTTTTAAGGCAAAACAAAATATCAAATAAACACAGCGTGGATTAATTCGTCAGAGTTAATAATGACTCAGGGAAGGCTTTATATATATCATTAGCAATTATCAATCCAAGAATCGTTAATCTATGTCAGTTGATTAGTATTACTCAATGACACGATCTGGATTTCAGCTAGCTGATTAATTTATAGTATTCCACCATGTGGTTGTGACTGACACTCAACGTCAATCTATATACGATTAGAATTTTAAGAGTTTTTTCCGCCACTTCTCTGAAAGAATCAGAAGTACCCCAAAACATTATCGCCAAAATCAAATTTTTATCGCCACTTCCATTTTTATACGCCCACGTCTACATTATGTATATTGCCGTCGCCTCTGTCTGTGTGTGTGTCTGTGTGTCGCCTACAAGTCGCAATACATAACTGATCATCTTGAAACCTACATACTTAATCCTTATACCCTAAGGATGTCCATATTGTTTTTGGTGCATGCCCGACTTCCAGTTCAACCTTCGCATACTTATTCCTTATACCATAAGGATCATCACTATTGTTTTTGGTGTATGCCCAACCCCCAGGTGCAGAGCCATGCCTATTATCTTTTTGTGTGCCTGTGTGTCGCCTACAGACTGATCATCTTGAAACTTTACATACTAATTCCTTATACCCTAAAGATCATCCCTATTGTTTTTGGTGCATGCTCGACCCCCCAGGGGCAGAGACACGCCCATTTTTTGTATCTGTTTGTTTGTCGTCCACAGGATGCATTTCTTAACGGATCCACTTCAAACTTTGCATACTTATTCCTTATACCCTAAGGATCATCACTATTGTTTTTGGTGCATGCACACCCATGTTCTCTTTGTGTGTCTGTGTGTCTCCTACGACTGCAATTCTACATCAATCGTCTTGAAAACTTTTCATACTTTTGATTTTGGTGCATCCCCCGACCCCCAGGGTCACAGTAAATGCCCAATTTTTGCATTTAGCTCCTGAAAGTCACAATTCTGAAAGGATTATCTTGGAACTTTGTATACTTATTCCTTATACCCTAAGGATGGCAATTACTGATTTTTTTTAATATTTTAAGTCATCACAGTCATTTCATATTTCATTCTCTTCATTTTAAAAAGTACAATATCAATCAAAGCAGGAATGTTGACGTATATTGCAGCGTTAGCGATGCTCTCAATTTTAACGTGAGCCCTGGATGCAGCATGGTCCCACAATGCACAGCGCGGGATATGTTAGCCTATCAGCGAACGAGTTGCGTTGACTTAATAGCACCAAGCTGAATTTACGTAATGTATGGGTTTGAAAACTTGTTTGTATTTGTTGAACATGCGGTCATCATAGTCTGGAGGCTCAGTGCAGAGGGGTGTCCATCAAAACCAGACCCCAACTTTTCTAGATCAAAATTTTACGTAGAATATGATGCCGAGTGGTAATCAGTCCGCTGTTGGGGCATTTTTGAGATGTTCGGGGTCAAAGGTCAAATTAGTTCATTTGCACTGAAAGTGAATGCGCAGCCATTCTTGTATCATGAAAATAATCACCCTTTAAATAAAAATGTAAACTTACTAAATTCATCTTTGTTCTTTTTGACCCCGGAGGTCAAAAGGTGAAATTTTCCGTTTTAGCATTAGAAAGATTTAAAGCAGTAAATGTCGGCATAAAATATAAAAACTAAAGCGAACCCTGTTCTAATTAATAATAGGAATATTTAAAATGTATCTTTAGGTGGTTTTAGCACCAAACTTTTACTTTGGTGTGTCGAAAAAGATCTTGCATAACAGAACCAAAACACTTCGAAACCTGTTTCAAAAATACATAAAAACTGTCAAATCAAAATATCTCCAAATTAATTTTACAACAAATGCACATAATGATACTAGTTGACTTCAGTCTGCAGGCCGCATCACACAGCTTGCCAAACTTTTCCCTGGTAACATTTACCAATACAACATTTATATCCCGTAAGCTATTTAATGTACAATGCATCTGTTGGTTTTATCTGTGTCCATGTTCCGGCGAAATTTATGAAAACTCATAAAAAATTTGCAATCTTTTAATCTCGTCGTCAGATACATGTTTTCCGGTCACAGATTAACGTCGGTTTTCCAAGATTGGGATTCCCGGAAATCCACGCGGTCTGCAGGCTGGAGTCCAACCATAAAACTATTCAACTGTTTTTCGGACAACTAGGACAATCGTTGTTAAACTAAATCGGGAAGATTTCGATTTGACAGTTTTTACGTATTTTCAAAACAGGTTTCGAAGTGTGTTGGTTCTTTTATGCAAAATCTTTTTTGATGTTCCAAAGTAAATCTATTGTGCTAAGACCACCTAAAGATAAGCTTTAAATGTTCCTACTATAAATTAGAACAGGTTTCGCTTTAGTTTTTATATTTTAGGCTGACATTTTATTGCTTTAAATCTTCCTAGTGCAAAAACAGAAAATTTCACCTTTTGACCTCCGGGGTCACTAAGACTAAAGGTGAATTTAGCTAGTTTACATTTTTATTGAAAGAGTGATTACTTTCGATCATCTTCAACATATTTTCATGATACAAGAATGGCTGTGCATTCACTTTCGGTGCAAATGAACTCATTTGACCATTGACCCCAAATATCTTGAAAACGCCCCAACTGTAGCTCAATATATTAGACTTTGCGCATTCCGACTCATTTTGCCAGGACGAGTCACAAATGATACTGGATAATCATTAATTCCTATTAACAACTTCGTGAGATAAATGTAGCGAAATGTGATGTTTTTGAGAAGCCATTTAGCCCAGTAGTGATCCTTTGACAAAATGAAATCACAAACATAAAAACCTTCAGTATCGGATTGTCTGAGAACCAGAATATTTATTTTGTATCTGCATATTGTGTCTTGTCCGTAAATTTGTTTTATGAAACTGTTTGTGTGTGGTGCAATTCCCCTGCACTTACTAGTAGATAGGTTAACGTTGATTTATACCTAGTTCAGTTCTTTGTCAGATTCATAATTTTTTTTTTTTACAGAAACTTGCAATTTCGCCAAAATAGTCATGATACAAACAGGTTTCTTTGAAGCTGTGGGCTTTACACAACTTTTAAAATTACTGAAAGCTAATCATGTTATGGAAAGCTTAACTCTTCAAGTTTTCGATGTGGATTTATACAATACAGAGGAAAGAACAGATAATATAAAACTTATTGAGATGTTATCACAGTCTAGTAGGTATTTTATTCATATTTATCACAACTTTTCATTACTTTCAATATTCATATCTATATATATATTTGTGACTGTCGTTTGTCTGTCTGTCTGTCTGTTCGGGGTTGGTGGCTACACTAGGTCTGCCCCGAGTCTGAAATTTGGGGTATAGGGGTAGCTCGGACCGGGGAGTAACATAGGCCAGGTGGCGTTAGTCTACCACTTCCGGTTTCGGAGTTATGACCCCCGAGCGAAGCCGGTCTGCTCGGGGTTGGCGGCTACACTAGGTCTGCCCTGAGTCTGAAATTTGGGGTATAGGGGTAGCTCGGACCGGGAAGTAACATAGACCAGGTGGCGTTAGTCTACCACTTCCGGTTTCTGAGTTATGACCCCCGAGCGAAGTCTGTCTGTTCGGGGTTGGCGGCTACATCTGCCCCGAGTCTGAAATTTGGGGTATAGGGGTAGCTCGGACCGGGAAGTAACATAGGCCAAGTGGCGTTAGTCTACCACTTGTGGTTTCGGAGTTATGACCCCCGAGCGAAGTCTGTCTGTTCGGGGTTGGCGGCTACACTAGGTCTTTCTGGTAAACTCACCCATTTCCAGGTCTATCTGCCCCAAACTTGGGGTGACCGTGGTAATAGAATTAAGGGAATAAAAGCTCATCTCCTTTTTATATGCCCACATTGAAATGTGGTCGTATATTGTCGTTGTCCCCGTCCGTCCGTCGGTCTGGCGTCCACAATTTATATCCAGTGTTTAAGGTCATGAGACGAGAAGCCTATTGATTTCCAATCAATACTGCGAGATTTATGGCCCTTGATCACTTTGAAATATCTTGTGGACGCTCTAGAGGCTAAAGTTAATATCCGATTGACTTGAAATTTATACACAGTGTTTATGGTCATGGGACAAAGAAGCCTATTGTATTGATTTTTAGCAATTTCCTATAGTTACTGCCAGAGTTATGGCCCTTGATCACTTCAAAATATCTGGTGGATGCTCTAGAGGCTAAAGTTATCATTCGATTGACTTCAGATTGATACACAGAGTTTAAGGTCTTGAGACCAACAAGTATATTGATTTCCAATGAATTTTGATAATTTGAACCGCTAAATCCATGATATTAAATGTTTCGTATACTAAACGTTAGCATGTTGCAGAACTTTATAAAAAAACAAACAAATTCTAATGATTTTCTGATAATTACTTAATGAGTTGTTATTCTTAATCAGATTTTAGTGTATTATAAATGTTTCATTACCGAAAAAAGTAAAAATATGCGACTACTCTTGTTAAGTCTATAAAAGGGATATATTTTAACTACCGGTACTGCAAAGAAAAGGTTGATCTTCATAAAATGACATAATTGGTATTTTTAATTTTATTCAAATGTAGATATACATGTAAATATTAATTTACTGTCTCAATTCCTCCATGTAGCAATTAGTACTCTTCTGTCAAAGCCTCCCATAATCAACAGTGTTTTTGTCTTTCCTATCCAATATTTTAAAAACTATGGATATCCACATAAATCATATTTAGAGACAAAACAAGTACAAACATACTATATAAACCTGGAACCAAAAATGACGTTATTGCAGCCATCTTGGAATTGTGACATCGTATGTGCAATAGTCCAAAGAACAAATTTGTCAAGTTTCATGTCATTTGAATTGAAACAAGATGAAGATTACTAAGTGTATGGAACCAGTTCCTGGTTCAAAATGGAGAATAAGACATTTAAGTCTGAGCTTCTACATGAAAACCGTCTCTTGATATTAGTATTAGTCTTGTAATAAGCCAAATTTGTATTTCCTTAGTTTATTATATTAAAACCAATGTTTTGTTACTTCAGGTTGCTTGTTACATACGTTAAATCTAGATGGAAATCAGTTTTATAATATTCCTGTTGATGTCTGGACTCATCTTCTCAAACAAAAACAACTGTTAAAAGAACTGTCATTATCACATTGTAAACTAGATCAAAATACCGGTAAGTAATCATCAATCAATACTGGTCTGATTGATACAAATATATTTACTTATGATACATGCAATTATTTTTCAAATATCTCCACTTTACGAGTATTTATCAACTTTGTTTAACCAATTAATTGACTGTAAGTGTAATACGCAATTCTTTGCCATTTTGGAAAAAAAACATGATACTGAAACTTATTAGAGTAGGAAGCCGGGGGGGGGGGGGGGGGTCAACCTAGCTGAAAAGTGTACCAATTTTCTCCTACATGTATATCGTATCAATGCATGCATATCTGGTATCATCAGAATGTAAGTCTGCCGGGTATCTGGTGGTGGGTGTGGTATTCCATGCCCAAAATGCCATGTCGCCCAACTAGGCTAGATTAGCTCAAAAGTTTACCACATGAAAATCGTACAGCAGTGTACCGTACATCTTCAGGTATTACAAAAACCCTGAGCTCCCGCTCTATATATGCCTGATTCTTGTTGCAGTCAGAATTACTTCCAACAAGTAATGATAACTAATAATAGAAATAATCAATTCTCATTTACTGATATATGCTTGCAGTCAAATGAGATATTCCCTGACATTCAAAAAGATTGAGAGTGAGAGAAATTGGGTTTAATGTCCTATTGACACAAACCAGGTAATTTTGGGAATAACATGGTACAGTTTTATTTCAATAATTCAGACCTTGTGATCTAAAGTGCATGCGTTAGATGACTCAGCTACCCCCAATATTAGATTGAATAACTTTATTATGTATTAATTATGATGTCTAACTGACATGGCAGTAGATTGTAATATTGAATACCCATTAACAGTCCCAAAAATAAATCCATTTAATTTTCTTATTATTTACAGTAAAAGACCAGAAGTTCATCAGAGAGTTGGTTAATCATCCTAATCTTCAAATATTTAATATTTCTTATAATAATTTAGGTAAGTACAATCCTCTTTCAAGATGAGTTTATATAAGCTCTGCCTTGTTTTCAGATCCCAGATTTATATATTATTATGTAAATATTTATTGAATAAATTGTGTTAGAAAATAAGAAGTATCTACTGATATTGTTGTGTATGATGCAGGTGGTGCTTTCTTTCCAAAATACATAATACCACTTATCATTTGAGTAGTTCATATAGCTGACAAATATTGTGTGAGTACATACATATTATTTTCATCCTCTCTGTCAGAGATTGTTTTTATCTAACCTGGTGTTTTAACTCGTGAAATCCAGAATCCCACATGTGTTTTACAACAGAGTTATTGTCAGTCACCAAAATCATTTAACTAAACACTCCATATGTCAAAGATTCTAGGATTGTATTTTCAAACTTGTCATTGCTGATGATAATGAGGAACCTAACAAAAATTCAGAGTTGTGTATCATTTTCTGACAGATTTATTGTCATTCACAAACCTGCTGATAGGTGTAATTTTGTTGCCTGGCAACTTTTGGATTCAAATTGTAAATGTGATTCGTAAAAAATAAAAGCGTAGATTACGAAGGCTATAATTATGAAATAATATTATAATTTCTGTTTTCAGGAACTGAATGTTTAGATTTATTGAAGCCTTTATTAAATGGTAATGGCTGCTTAAAGACCTTAGATTTAAGGTAATGGATTTACTGGAGTTTACTTTTTTTCCATACTGTTGTGTTTGAAATACATATTGTATGGAAATGTTCATGTGTTTTGCAAATATCACCTAGAAATAAGTAAATTAAAGTGTACAAAGTATTCAACTAATTTTACCACATAGACAATAATTATTCTGAATTTGTTATTAAGGCCAGTATCCATTGGGTAGTAATTTCTCAAAATACTTTCGATTTAATGCTAAAAAATTTTAAGAATGTATTTCGATTTTGTTCCTGTACTCCAATAAGATAAATTGTATATTTCTCAGAAATGTAACAGAAATATCACCTCTCTGTTTTTATACGCCCACATTTTCATGTGGACGTATTATGCCGTCGCCCCTGTCCGTCCGTCCACAATTGTTTGTGGACTCTCTACAGGTCACAATTCTTATCCGATTTTGACGAAACTTGAAATATAGGTTTATCCGCAAAAGATCTCGGCTGCTTTCGATATTGGCATGTATCGGATCGAAACTTCATGGATTATGGCCCCTGATTTTACGAAAAATCACGTTTTTAGCTTGTGGACCCTATAGAGGTCACAATTTTTATCCGCAATTTTTTAAACTTGAAATGTAAGTTTATAACCCAAAGATCTTGGTTCCTTCCGATATTCGCGCATATATCGGACCGTAACTTCCTGAATTATGGCCCCTGATTGTACGAAAAATCTCGTTTTTAGCTTGTGGACCCTATAGAGGTCATAATTTTTATCCGATTTAAAAAAAACGTATTATTATATCACCGTTACACCCTAAGGAAGGTTGAGTTCGAATTTCGTGAAAATCGGCCTAAAATTGACAGACAAAATGGCCGCCGTTCGTTCTCAAATAGCGTAAAAATATGGTATATCAAGGTTGTGGACCCTATAGAGGTCACAATTTTTATCCGATTTTGTTGAAACTTGAAATGTAAGTTTATAACACAAAGATCTCAGTTCCTTTCGATATTTGCGCATATTGAATTGTAATTTCCTGAATTATGGCCTTTGATAGTAGGAAAAGTCACTTTCTTGTTAGCTTGTTCTCTATCCATCTCTCGAAAATGTGGGCGTATCCTGCCTGGCAGCCGCTGGTTTCAATATCTTTTGACTGAAATACATTTTATTATAGAAAAACTTAGAATTGGCTAAGAAATCAAACATTTGGCTGAATCGATGTAATATATAAAGAAAAGTTGATAGAAGTAAATTTATCCCATTGGCCCAGACTTCTGTTTGTATTTGTCCTCACAAATTGTCAGTTAACTTTGTTTCCCAGATGACTAGACAGATTTCAACAATATTGGGAAGTTTCCTAATGTGGTGCAATAGGCACCATGTTGGTAATCTTTTTGCTTTATAATTGCTGAATGGATTTGTTTTAAATTAAGTAACTGGGTGATAAAGATATGTTTTAAATTAATTAAGTAGTTAGATGATAAGATAATATTTTGTTAAAATCAAGGATTTGGCCCTCTGATGCTTACACTTGATTTAATAGTTTATATGACTTACTTTTATCTATGATGTCACTGTATTTGTTTGTAGACCAGTGGATCAACACTTGAATATTAGTATGACACCCTTGCAATATCAAAAGTATATTGATATGGTGACGGCCTATCAATATAATGTTTAGTTTTTGGCATCTGAAAGTCACTCTTCAGTAACAGGGGTGATTGGAGTATATCTGTTGCCTGGCAACGTTTGGTATTTATTATGGCTTCAAATAATTTTATATTTCAGTTCAAATCATCTTAATTTGGTAAATATCTTAGATGTCATGAAAAATCTTGCTCAGGAACCGACAAAACTCAAATTGAAACATTTAATTGTTAAAAATTGTTGCAGACATATTGTCGGAAACCCAAATATTATCCGTGCACAAATTTTGAAGTATAGTAAACATGTTATTCAAAATGTTATTGGTTTAACAGATTATGGTCCCAATTTAAGGGATGAAAATCTTGAATATGTAGCAATTATGTGATATAAAGCAATTTAAACTAATCTAGTAAGAGTATATATTGTTCTTAATGATATGTCCATTATTTGCTGGAGATGCTGTGGCTCAGTGAGTATGGTGGTGGCTTGCCATCCAGGAGATCCTGGTTTCATTCCCGGTGTTGGCTGACAAATTTCTTCAGGACTTTCTGGTATAGTTTCTCTTTGGCAGTTGTGAAAGTCAGAGGGTGCAGCAAGGAAAAGTATGTAAAACAAAACCTTTGACAGTAAGAGTAAGCTGTAGGCACTGCTGCCCAGGCAAAATTTCCCTCATAGCACACTGCCTGATAATGCCCATCTATATTATTAACCTGGTAGGTGCAGAAAAGTAGGATGTTTAACCCCAGTTGATTTCACTTTGTAATAGTCTGGAGGCTCAGTGCGGGGAGGTGTCCATCAAATGGGCACAAAACCAGTCCAACTTTTCTATAGTATTTTTTGCATAGAATACCCAAAGCTCTTGCTTCCTGTCAGTATTCGTTGTTATCTGATGGTAACATTCTGAATTATGGCCCTGGATTGTCCGAAAAATCATGTTTTTTTTAGCTTGTGGTCCCTCCAGAGGTCACAATTTTTATCAGATTTTAAAAACCATTTGAATATATCACCATTACACCCTATGGATGGTGGAGATCGAATTTCGTGAAAATCGGACCAAAACTGCCGGACAAAATGGACGCCCCCCCCCCCCCCCCATACATAGGGTGACCAAACTTATAGGTTATTCAGGTTCAATCGGCATGCGCAACGAATGTTTCCAACAGGTGCTAGGAATATTTTTACGACTGTGAATTCGGGGAAAAAATTTGTGGATATTCTTGAGTATTTGTCACAACTGTCGTACAAGAGATTAAAATTATCAAAGTAATCAACAAAGACCCACGGTAGCGATTTTTAATCTCACAGATAATTGATTGGTGATTGCTTGTCACGGATAATTGATCGGTAAGTGTTTGCTTCACACCCACCGATTGAAGGCCGGATTATACGGTCTCGATTCAATGGAAATCGTATGACGGGACGGCTGATTGATGTCGTAATTCGGAACTTACAGAGGTCGAATTACCCAGAGATATTTTGGCTGAAGTAATAAGGAAATAAATCTGGACATGAAAATGGTGTTGGATGTAACAGAGTGCCGGAATGATCAGAGGTCGGATGTGACAAAGTGCACTGTATAGTCCGATCGTTAATGTTAATCCGTCGGCTTTTCGGGTAGAAATCGTGGAATAAGCTTTATTTTGTAGGTTTTGATGTTTGATTGCAAAAAAACAATGTTGACATTTTTTCTGAGTAGGTCTTCATAGTATGGGAGGCCATTATTTGAGGGTAGCCATTTTGCGATAATATTCCAAATTATTTTTTATTTTCACCTTATTTATAATGTTATCGACATATCAACTGTGATTTGGCAATGTATTAATATTGGCGGCATTCATGACTATATCTCAGATTGTTTTCCATCATTTCATGATGATATTTCCAAGATGGCGCCCATTTTTAGCGGGAAACTCGGTCGATGTGCTGATTAAGTAGTAGTGTTTGGTGTCAATATATATGTTTTCGGGGTCACAAATCTCATTCCTGACATTTACAACCTTGTAAAATGATCACATGTTCATATACTTAGCATATGACCAAGATGGCAGGCATTTTGGGCGTGAAAATGAGACGATGTGCAGATTTTGATTAATTGGTGGTGTTTGGTGTCAATATATATGTTTACGTGGGCGCAGAATCAATTTCTGACATTTACAACCTTGTAAAATGATCACATGTTCACATATTTATTATATTTCCAATATTGCTGCCACTTGTGTTGGGAAAATCGGACGATGGGTTGATTTCGATTAAGTAGTTGTCTTTGGTGACAATATATATGTTTTTGGGAAGGTAGATTCGATTTCTGTCATATACAACTAGGGGGGTTGGATGGCTGAATGGTTAGCGTGCGCGCGCTGTATCATAAAGTCTGTCATTGAGTCGACTGGCGTGGTTTCGAATCCCCGGTTGTACGTGACAAGGAGTAGGGTCGCCTGTCCAACCTCGTGGGTTTTCTCTGGGTCCTCCGGTTTCCTCCCACTGCTAAAGACCCCTACGCGGAAGCGAATTATTGAAATAAAAATTAAAAAACCATATGTTAGTCCCGAAATGACCTAGTTTGTGTCGAGTGGACGTTAAACCCCATCTCTCTCTCTCATATACAACTACGTAAAATGGTCGTATGTTCACCAATTTAGCATATTTCCAAGATGGTGGAACGTTTTCTAAACACGTTATTAGCATTTATTTATCATTGATTTTCCTGGGAAAGTAAAGCCTATTCCTGGCATGAAGGCAAAAAGAGCATAGCGGCAGCGTCATGCTTACGCCATGTGCCCATCTTGCGCCTGCAACGACCACACCAAGCGCTTAGTACAAGATCTTTCTAGGTTCTTGGCCAAGATCTGGCTGCGTGAAAAGTGTTTTCCACCACAGACCGGGATACTTTCTCACCACACTCCAGTGATGTGCCTACCAGGCGTAAGGCGTTCTCTCGCCACGCCTATAGAGACTGTGCCATGCTCAACCGTCCACATTCATTTTCAAAGCAGAAAACAACCAATAACCAAGCAATTAAGAACATTTCATAGTTTTCTTGATGTTTCCTCTTTGGGTGCTAGACTGGAGCTGATGGACGAGGCTCAGTATCTTCCCTATATATACATACAGGTCGTAACAGCGTAGCAAGCGTATGGCCAGGCGCTTCGTTTCAGCCTGGCAGCAACGTGGATGATAGTGGTGGGGACGTGGCTATAAATGAAATACTTGCCAAGAAGCCCTCATAGCATAGATTATGTTATCAACTGACATCCAAGATGAATGTAGACGAACATGTGGAATGATATTGCGCTGGAGTTCAACTACTACATTGTTGGATAATATACCTAATGGGTAAACTCGGCACAGGCTTCCAGGAACATGCTACAAGCTTATACACAGCAGAATTGGATTCAGAAACCTTTACAGTAATGTGTTTAGAAAACGTCCTGCCACAAACAAAAATATGCTGAATGTGTGAACATACCACCATTTCACACAGTTGTAAATGGCAGAAATCGAATCTGCGCCCCCGAAAAACAAATATTGACACAAAAACGCGACTACGTAATCAAAATCAGCACATCATTGCATTTTGACGATCGACATGAAAGCTGTATTGGAAATATGCTAAATATGTGAAAATGTGATAATTTTACACAGTTGTAAAAGGCAAAAATGGAATCTGCTCCCCCAAAAATATATCCTGGTACCAAAGACGACTACTTAATCAATATTCGCACATAGTTCCATCTTCCCGCCAAAAATGGCCGTCATAGTGTAAATGTGCAAAATAATCAATTTACACAATTGTTACTGACCGAAATGGATTCTGTGCCCTTGAAAACATATATATTGACACCAACGACGACTACTTAATCAACATTAGCACATCGTCTTATTTTCCCGCCAAAAATGCCTGCCATCTTGGTAATATGCTAAGTATATGAATATGTAATCATCTTACAAGGTTGTAAATGTCAGGAATGGAATCTGTGACCCCGAAAACATATATATTGACATCAAGCACTACTACTTAATCAAAATCAGCACATCGTCCGATTTTCCCGCCCAAAATGGCCGCCATCTTGGAAATATCATACTGAAACGATGGAAAAGAATCTGAAGTAAAGTCATGAACCCTGCCATTATTAATACATTGCCAAATCACAGTTGATATTTCGATAACATTATAAATAAGGTGAAAATAATAAAATAAGTTGGAATATTATCGCAAAATGGGTACCCTCAAATAATGGCCTCCCATACTATGAAGACCTACTCAGAAAAAATGTCAACATTGTTTTTTTGTAATCAAACATCAAAACCTACAAAATAAAGCTTATTCCATGATTTCTACCCAAAAAGCCGACGGATGGGAATTATGTAACAAACCGAATCCGACTATGTAGTGTGAAAAAAATGGTATATCAAGGTTATGGGCCATCTAGAGGCCACAATTTTGATCAGATTTTGATGAAGGTTGACAAGTTTGTTTATAACCTATAGATCTTGGTTCCTTTCGATAATTGCGCATATCAGACTGAAACTTCCTGGTTGTATGAAAAATCATGTTTTTTTAGCTTGTGGATTCTCTAGAGGTCACAATTTTTATCTGAGGTTAAAAACAGTTTACATTCATCACCATTCCACCATAATGAAGGTTGAATTCGAATTTCAGGAAAATCAAAACTAAACTGCCCGACAAATGCACTAATTGTGTTAAAGTATATAATACGAAGGGTGTGGACCCTCAAGAGGTCACAATTTTCAATATAATTTTGATGAAACTTAAAATATATCTTTATGTCGCAAAGATCTCAGTCCCTTTCGATATTTGCACATTTCAGACCATAACTTTTTGAATTATGGTCCCTGATTGTACGAAAAGACGCTTTTGTTTTTAACTTGTTCTCTATCCATCTCTTGCAAAATGTGGGCGTATTTTGTCTGGGAACCGTTGGTTACCCGATTTAAAAAAACGTTCACATATATCACCGTTACACCATAATGATGATTGAATTCGGACAGAAACTGCCGGACAAAATGGCCGCTCTATGTACACAAATAGTGTTAAAGTATGTAATATCAAGGTTGAGGACCCTCTAGAGGTCACAATATTGATGTAACTTAAAAGATGTTTTTATTTCCCCCAAATCTTGGTTCCTTTAGATATTCGCGCATATCAAACCGTAAGTTCCTGGATTATGGCCCCAGATAGTACAAAAAATTGCGCTTTTAGCTTGTGGACACTCTATAGGTCACAATTTTATCCGATTTTAAACATCTTTTAAATATATCGCCGTTATACCCGGATGATGATTGAGTTTGAATTTTGTAAAAATCGGACCGAAACTGCCCGACAAAATAGTGTAAAAGTATGTATAACCAAGGTTGTAGACCCCCAAAGATCTCGGTTCCTTTCGATATTCACGCATATCGGATTGTAACTTCCTTGATTATGGCCCCTGATTATACAAAAAATCGAGTTTTTAGCTTTTGGATCCTCTAGAGGTTACAATTTTTATCCGATTTTAAAAAATGCTTAGATATGTCAGTGTAATAACCTTTTGACGGTCAGGTTCGAATTTCATGAAAATAAGAATAAAACTGCCCGACAGTA